ACACTGTATGAGTCCACTTACATGAGGTACTTAGAGTAGTCAAAGTCGTAAAGACAGAAGGTAGAATGTCAGCTGCCATGGGCTGGGCGGGGGTGGGAAGATGTGGAGATATTGTTCAGTGGGTCCACAGGCTTAGTTTTGCAGGATGAAGGAAGTTCTGTGGATGGATGGTGGTGATAGTTGCAAAACAATGTGAATGTGCTTAATGCCACTGCACTGTAACACTTGAAAATGATTAAGATGGTAAATTTTTATGTTATGTGTACTTTACCACAATTAAAAAGAACACTGCCAATAAGATTTATTTAGTCAACAGATATTTATTGAGCTCTATATGTTCCAGGGCATGTGGGCTAGGCACTGGAGAGAGACCCTCCAAGAAGAAAGACAAAATCCCTGCCCTCACAGAGGGGAAGACTGACAATAAACAAGTAAACAATTAATCAACAACATGTTTAAATTTTGTCATGAGTACTATGAAACTGGGAGTGGAGCTGTTTTAGTTAGGGTGGTCAGGGAAAGCGGTGGATCTTAACCTTTGGGTTGTCGATCTTTCTAAGGATCTGATGAAAGCCATTGTTCTTCTCTCCAAGAAGACACAAATCTGGCCATAATTGTGCATACAATTTTATAAAGTCCGTGGATGTTCAAAACCCATCTCTGAGGGTTCTATCAGCCTGAAGTTAGGAACCTATGCTTTGCTGGCTCCCCAGTGTTCTGTGGGGTGAATTCCAGGATACTTAGTATGACACACCAGGTTCCCTGAGTTCCATTTCCTGCCCACATCTCTGACCTTATTTCCTGCTCCTCTGCCTAGCCATGCAGACCACAAGTACCTAGCATCCCTTGAATGTGCATACTGTATGCTCTCACATCTCTAAACATTTCCCTAACTGTGTTGCCTCAGGAATTCCTACTTATCCCTTAAGACTCAGTGCAAATATCCCCTCTTTTTTTAAAAAATTTTCCCTCACCTGAGGATATTTTTCCCCCCATTATTTTTCAGAGAGATTGGGAAGGAGACAAAGAGAGAGAGAAACATTGATGTGAGAGAGACAAGTCTATTAGTTGCCTCCTGCACGTGCCCCGAGTGGGGCCAGGAATCGAGCCTGCAACCGAGCTACGTGCCCTTGGCTGGAATCAAACCCGGGACCCTTCAGTCCACAAGCCGACGTTCTAACCACTGAGCCAGACCAGCCAGGGCTTCCCTCTTTTTTTTTTTTAAATTGAGGTATACATGACCAAATATCCTCTCCTAATGATTATTTCTTTTGCCTCTCTCCCTTAGTGAGACAAAGTTAGGCATGTTCTGCCTCACTTTGCTTCACCATCATTTATTTACTTGCCTAGCTGGTATTTATTGAGCATCTACTATATGCCTGCCCCAGTTCTAGGTGCAGTGATGGCCAACAGACACTGGTAACACCCTCAGGTTTATAGTCTAGTGGGGGCTATAGACATTAAACATATAGTTAAATGACTAAATGTGGATTAAATATTGAGACAAGTATAGGAAGGATGAGAAGAGGGCTCAAGAACAGGGTTCTCTGAGTTTTTAGGTGAGGGGTGAAGTACAGGTAAGGAGATCTCTTGGAAGGAATTTAAGCTGAAATGAAAGGACTGTGAGTGTCAGCCAGATGAAGAGGGGAACAAGTGCTTTTGCATAAGGAGCAGCACATGCATATCAGGCCCCAAGGTACAGATTGTGTCTTTTTCTCTTTTTTGCTGGTATGCATTTTCTCCACCCTCCTTACTTTATTGAGGTATAATTGACAAAATTGTATATGTTTAAGGTATACAATTGATGATTTGATATGCATATACATTGTAAAATGACTATCACAATCAAGTTAATCAATGCATTGATTAACTCACATGCTTACCATTTAAAAAAATATGTTTTTGTTTATTTTTTAGAGAGAGAGGAAGGGAGAAGGATAGAGAGAGAGAAATATCTCGGCTGCTTCCTGTACGCCTCCTACTGGGAATCAAGCCCGCAACCTGGGCAAGTGCCCTGACCGGGAACTGAACCAGTGACCTCTTGGTTCATGGGTCGACGCTGAACCACTGAGCCATGCTGACCGTGCCCATTTTTTAAATATAAAAAAAATATATAAGGAACTCAAACAATATGTGAGAAACTAATGGGCACATGAAAATGTTCTCAAGGTTACTAATTCTCAGGGAAATGCAAATCAAAACCACAAGGAACTATCAGCTTACACTTGTTATTAAAAAGACAAAAGATACCAGGTGCTGGCCAGGATGTGGAGAAAAGGGAACCTTGTGCACTATTGGTGGGAATGTAAATTGGTGCAGTCACCATGGAAAGTAGTATAGAGGGTGCTCAAAAAATTAAAAATAGAACTATTATACCCAGCAATGTCACTTCTGAGTATATATCTGAAAGAAATGAAGTCAGTATCTTTTTTCAAAAAATATATCTTTATTGATTTCAGAGAGAGGAAGGGAGAGATTGAGATAGAAACATCAATGATGAGAGAGTCATTGATTGGCTGCCTCCTGCACACCCTGGACTGGGGATTGAGCCCGCAACCCGGGCAAGTGCCCTGACAGGGAATCAAACTGCAATCTCCTGGATCCTAGGCCGGTGCTCAACCGCTGAGCCATGCCCAGCCAGGCTCCACACTGTTTCTTGAGTTTAAATTGTCCTTTTAGAAGAGACCACTGAGGAAAAGAAATTGCAAAAGGGCCTCACACAACCTGAGGATGAACACGGTGGGAAGTTACTTGTTGACAACATGCCTTGATTTTTTATTTTTTACCTCAGTGGGCCCCTCCCTACACAATGTGGATAACACCCCTCCACACATACCTGTCCTCTCCTGGTACATCCCTCACTCCCACCTTACCTGGCTCACTCCTTCTCTTTCAGGGCCCTGCTCAAACCAGAGTTCCCCAGGCCTTCCTCCAACCTCACTCATCCTCAGGTCAAAATCCTTGCTAGGCATTTGGAGCATTAGTGCTTCTCTTTTAAAGCACATATTATAATGCTAATTTTATAGGTATTTGTCTCATCTTTGAAGATGGTCTGTCTCCCCCACTGGGCTGAAAGCCCTGTGAGGGCAGGAACCCTGTGAGTCTTGTTCACAACTGTAGCCCTGGGGTTGGCTCACATTGCCTGGCACACAGAAGCTGCTCTTTTATTGCAAGTGTGAATGAATGAATGCGTGATTGGCCCCTTCTGGTCTCCCCTGGCCACCATCCTATTCTTTCTTCGGTCACCCATGCTCTGCTGTCCTAGAAAGATCAAAGGATACCCCCTCCCCCCCTTTGAGGTCTGTTAGCACTTCTAATCCTCACCCCTGCTCATGTTTTTGGATTTGCTCATTTCCACAGATTTCACTTTTAGAACTTGTCAGGGGCTGGCTGCCAGCAGCTGGGAGCACAGAGCTGAATTTTCCCTGTGGATGGGCTCACTTCCAGATCAGACCAGAAGTTCCCTGAGGGCAGGGCCTCTGCTTTGCACAGAGCCAGGTAAAAACAACTTTACTGAATGCGGGAATGAATGGACATCATCAAAGGCGAGTTGCTCCAAGCTATGAAGGAATCAATGGTAGAGGAGCCTGGGAGTCATCCTCGGAGAAGAGCCCCTGCTCCCAGGTTCCCTGGAAGGAAAATTCCTGCTGCCTGTGGTCAGGCATTATGATGGGCCCTGGACATTGCCTCATATAGTTTACAGTCTTGGGGGTGAATGGGGAGAAACGGGGAAGGCTGCAGCCTCAGTAGGAAGATTGAGCACTGATGAGGGAGGAGGGGAGTGGACCTCAGAGGCAAAGGTGCAAAGGAACAGGCTCTGGCATTTGGGCTCTGGGTGGTTGTCTGCTGGTGGGCAGGGAGAGCCTGAGGCAGAACAGCATCCTGGCAGGGCAGTGCGGTCTTTCCCCTTCCTGTACCTCATCACCCAGCAAGGCTCCCCTGCCTCCCATCCAAAAGTGGCTGCTCTGTGCCTCCAGCACCAGCCCCTGAGAGCATCCCCCAACCATCCTCTGAACTAGGCCTGCCCAGGCCTGGGCCACAGGGCCATCTTTATCACTCGCTCACTGTGTGACCTTGGGTGAGTCATGTTTCCTCTCTCAGCTGTCTCTGTTCTGAGCCCTGACTTTCAGTTTAGACATGTGTTTCTAGATGGGCTGAATCCCTAGGAAGGGTCAGGGTTTGGTGAGCACCTTGGAAAGGATTCTCTGGTATTTTTCCTCCTGTCTGCCCGAGAAGGACCTCAAATCGCATTATTGGGTGAAGCATAGGGCAAGGAAATAGCTCTTACTGGGATTCTCTTTCCTAGTGTCAGTTTCTTCCTCTATACGGTGGTGGTAACAGTGCCCTTGAGGGCTGCAGGCTGTGGAAGGAGAGTCAGAAATGTGGGTGGGTGGGTGGCCAAGAGATTGCAATTGTGCTGAACCAGCAACATCCAACAACTGCAGGTTCCCCCCAGAAGGTTCTTCTCAGAGATCAAGAATTTGGCCGATCCTGGGAACAGTCAGTCCTGCGCCCATTTTACATGTGGAGAAGCCAGGCCCACAGAGGGCATGGGAGTGGTCCAAGGGCAGGTGACAGGTGACCTGAAACCTCTAGGCACTTGATCCCAGGCAGCCTGATTCCTCAATGGAGCTGCTCATGCTCCGCTGGGGAGTGGCCCAGAGGCAGTCCAGGAGCCCGCTGCGGGAGCACAGCAGGGCCGTTGTGCCAAGAGGGCACCACCCGCTGGCCGGCCCCTCCCCGCTGGCGTTACCTTTACCTGCCGGCCCACAGCTGCCCCGCCAGCAGCTCAGCGCGCTCCCCATTCCGCGCTCTGCCTCCGGAGCTGCTCCCCGACGGCGCAGCACCGGGATCCTGCACCACCGCGATCCTGCACCACCGCCCCGCTGCCGCGACTTCACGACTTGGCGGGTGCCTTCCTCCGGGGCTGATCATTAACCCGAGGCCTTATAAGGAACGAGTGGCCTCGGCGAGAGGAACTCCCCTTTGCCACCGCCGCCATGGACAGTACCACCTGGAGCCCCGTGACCACCGGGACTCCTGCGCCCATCCCGCCCCACGAGCGCATCCGCAATGCAGCTGACATCTCTGTCATCGTCGTCTACTTCGTGGTGGTGATGGCTGTCGGGCTGTGGGTATGTGGGGGCCCTGGGACAGAGCGAGCGCCACCAGGAGGGACAAAAACAGGGGGCACAGCAAAGGGCTTGGGGTGAACTGCGAGGAGGGCAGGGAAGATGGCCTTAAGGGTGTGTGGAACGGAGTGGATATGACTTGGAAGCGCTTAAGAGGAGGTCAGAGGAGGTCAGGGGGCACAGTACGAGGTGAGGAGGGCAGACGAGGATGGGCAGAAGTGAGAGGGGTGCTGGCCAGCACAGAGGATGGACATCTGGGACAGAGAAGGGGGGTGGGAGACAGGGGCCGGCAGTGTGAGGGGCAGGAGAGGGCTAGCCCGTAGCTGCAGGGAGTGTCCGTCCCCAGGCTTGGGAGGAGGTGACTACTGTCCTGCCTCCTAGTCACCCAGTTTCGGATGGAAAAGAAGCAGTAGTGGGCAAGGACAAGAGCCTCTGCCAGCTGCAGGTGCTGTGGGGCAGCCTAAGGAAGGGGGGCTGCCTGGTGGCCACCTCCTGGGACAGGCTGGCCTGGAGGCCTTGTGCCATGGAATCCCAGGGGCTGGAGTGAGTGAGGGTTGGGAGAGCTGGGTGAGGAGGAGCAGGAGGAAGACCGGAGGGTAGCTTGGCACCGGGAAGAGGGAAATGTCTGTGGCTCCCCTTTGGGACTCTGGGGACACACCAAACCAGAGAAACTTGTTCTTACCAGCCTGGAATATGGAAATTTCACTTGTGACGGACTCTGGCACACCCAGCGCCCAGGAGAGGAGGTGTTTCAAATGTGCAAATATTTCAGCCACTCAAAGGTTTTCACGGGGGTGGCAGGCCAGGAGGAGAGGAGGGTGGACATTAACCGTTCCATGGCCACAGAGATTTTTTTAGGGATAAAAGGAAGTCTTTTTTTTTTTTAAAAAAAAGCAATCGTAGAAACCAGATGTGACTGAAAGGCTCCCAAAGAGTCAAAAGGGGTTGGTATGGTTGACTCTTCCTCTCAGCCTCCAGCTTCCCAGACGTGTCCAACTAGGAGCTAGGATTCTCAAGTTAGTAATGGCTGTGTCCTGGTTTCAGACATGTGACCTTGGGTAACCCGCCTCAGCCTCAGTTAACTTGAGTGTAAAATGGACACAATCTTACCTATCCTTATGACTCCCCCAGGCTGTTGTGAGGCTCTGCAGAGATGAATCTGAAAGCTCATTATGGATGCTAGAAATGTTTAAAAGTACTATTATTATTTGCCTTCGAGGGTCTGACCCAGATCCTGAATTATTTTTGTTCTTTTAACTAAAATGGACAAAAGTGGTCAGCGGGGTAGGACATCTTGACAAAAAACCACGAGACAGAGAGGGCAGGAATGTTAGTGCCCATTTCACAGAAGAGGAAATGGAAGCCCCACATGGTTGTGATTTGGCTGAGGCTGCAATACATGGAATTATTCCTGGAATTCGGGTTTCTTTTCCACGGCACCAGGGACTTTGCTACCTTGCCTGCCTTCCGCCTCCCACCCCTCCACAGCTTATAAGTGCTGGAGCCAAGACGTGAATCCATCATTTGCTAGCTGTGTCGTATTGCCTGTTTCCCAGACAATCACCGACAACCTCCGTTCCCTTAAGCAATCTCATCTTCTTTAGCCCTGCCAGTCCTGATGGTTATGGTGTTTACACTTTTCAAATATCTGTGAATCAGAATCACTTGTCCCGTTAAATGCTATTTAAAGAGCCTCCTAGCATTTGTCCGAGTTTACTCTTCCCCCATTAGTCAGTGCCTCTGAATCCTGATCATTGAACATGCTGGATTTCTTCCAGTTTACATTCCTCTTTTTTCTCTTGGAGTGTCAAGAGTGGCTTGGTTCAGGGACAGGCGTTCTGACTCCTGCATGATCTCGGGTCTGCAGAGACAGAGCTGGCCAGTCCTGCTGTGCTTCCTCAACTTAGAAAAGGCACAGCTACTGTCCCTCTGTCACCATCCCCATCTCTTCCAACATTATTTTGTTCTGTTTTATCTTCTTTCAACGCTGCCTCACCCAATCATATTGGGGCTTGAGCTTATTCTTTAGTGTCCAGTTGACCCTTGAACAACACGTATGCAAACTCTTGTGGGTCCACTTATACTTGGATTTTTTTCAATAAATATTTGGTTGACCCTCTGTATCCTGGGGTTTCTGTGGATTCAACTGACTGCAGATAGAAAACTATTTTCAATCCTGGGTCGGGAGTTCACAAATACAGAGGGCTGACTGTAAATTGTTCTATGCCATTTTGTAAAGAGACTTGAGCATCTGTGGATTTGGTATCCACAGGAGTCCTGGGACCAATCCCTCATGGATACCAAGGAACAACTGTAGTTAAGTGTTTGAGGAGTCAAAAGTTGTATGTGGATTTTCAGTTTCATGGAGTTGGCACCCCTAACCTTCTTGTTGCTCAAGGGTCAACTGTATATTTCCATTTTTCTTTCACTATATCTCGTTTTGTTTCTTGGGGGATTTTGTATCCCTTTAGGCTGAGTCTCTTACCTTATTCTTTCTGGAAGATTTCATGAAGCTATCCTTAAACCCTTTATACCATGGGCCAAATCTGGCTCACAGCCTGTGCTGTGTGGCCCACAAGTTAAGAATGTTTTTTACGCCTTTAAGAGGTTGTAAAAAAAAACCCAACCAAAATAAAACAAGAGCATGTGGTGGAGATCATATGTATCCCACAAAACCTATTTACTATCTGGCCCATTTTATTAACAGAAAACATTTATTGACCCCTGTCTTATGTGATCGTTTGCACTAATAGCATCATTGGATGCCTGGGTAGCAATGGCCCCTGGGGGACCCCAACATTTCTATTTTACAGATGAGAGTTAGAGAGGGTGACCAGGAGTCACTCAGATGAATCAGCATCAGAGCTGGGATTAGAACTCAGGTCTTAAGATTCCAAAGGCAATGCTCTTTGCATTGTCTCACCTTTCCCCCTTTCCAAGACACAATTTTTTTTCTGGGAATATCCTCTCCAGGGTCCTTACTACTACTTGCATTACTATGGCAGTGTCCTGGGGGTACCAAATTCCTTCTTTTCTCACATCTTTCCATAAAGTGGGGACCTACAGTTTATCTTCATTCTATGCTTGAGCCTGTTCTTTAAACCACTTAACAAAATCATCTTGACAAGTTGTCAACACTTCACTAGAATACTTGCAGCAAAAACTCTCCCCAGGGCACCATTTCCATCTCTGGACATTTCTGATAGCAAGAAAATTCTTCCTTGTTCTGAGCTCAGACCTGATGTCCCGGAGCTTCTCCCATTGTGTCTGGTTGTGCCTTATGCAGGCCACACTGAGTGAGTATGTCCCACTTTACATCAGAAGATGGTAGGCCACACCTGAGTCGTCTCTTCTCCAGGAACAACACCCCCCAGTTTCTTTAAAAAATATTTTTACTGAATTTTAGAGAGAAAGAAAGGGAGAGAGAGAAACATTGATGTGAGAATAGAACATGGATCGGCTGCCTCCTGCATACCCCCACCAGGGACTGAGCCCAAGACCTGGGCATGTGCCCTGACTGGGAATTGAACCGGCAATGTTTTGGTGCATGGAACGACACCCAACCAACTGAACCACACTGGCCAGGGCATCCCCAGTTTCTTAAGTTTCGAAGGTCTGAAGTGCTTTCCTTTTGCTCAATGATATTTTTATTTCATTGAGAAAAAAACATGTGGGCCAGTGATTGTGCTTCTTTGGCTCCTGTGGCTTGCAATAGTGATTTCATTCTCTTCTAGTTGCAGGGTACATAGGCAAATTTAATACCATGGTTTACAAAGTGGGGTCTGGAACCTTATAGCTTTCCTTTGAGCGTCCTGTGCTCCTAGAGACAGTGCCTTCCTATTTGTAGGGAGTGAACATCGGGGAGAAAGGAGGCAGGGTACATAAGCTCCCATGCATGCGCTGAGAAGCACCTACTGAATGCTGCTGTTTGCAGAATGTCAGCCTGGGGTTGAGGGGTGTTGCTCATTTGCGTAAAGAGCGTTAAGGGTGGGAGAAGGGGGAGGAGTGCAGCCTGAGGGAACTGAGAATCCCATTCATTTAACTTTTTACTGAATGTGCACCATGCACAAGGCATTATATTAAGCACTGTGGGGGATTAAATGTTTGTAAAATGATTACCGCAATCAAGCTAAATTAACACATCCATCCCTTCATCTGGTTACAATAATTTTTGTGTGTGGTGAGGACATTTAAAATGTACTCTCTTAGCAAATTTAACGATACCATACAGTGTTATGAACTACAGTCACCATGCTGTACCTTAGCTCTCCAGAACTTAATCATCTTATAACTGAGACTTTGTGCCTTTGACCAACACCTCTCCATTCCCCCCATGCCCCGACTTCTGGAAATGAACATGCATATCAAAACATCATTTGTACACCTAAATATATGCAATTTTTATTTGATTAAATGACTCAATAAAGCTGGAAAGAAAATTTGTAATATAAAGTAAAAGAAAAACAACTATAAGAGGTGTGCACAAGGTGTAGATGGAGTTCTTTAGATGTTCTTAGGAGAGAGATTATTTTTTTCAGGGAGGGGAGGAGGAGACACCTGAAGCTTTCCTGACACCCTGTCAGAAGGGATCTCCTCTTTCTTAACTGTATTCATAATAATCATCATTCCACAGTATTCATAATATATTGAAAAGTAATGTTTCCAGCAAGCTCCTACTTACAGCCCCAAAGAAGAAAGTTTTGAATTGAATTTGAGTGTTTAGTCTTTTATGTAATGTTAAGTATAAACACCGTGCATTCTTATAGCTTCATTCTCCTTCCTTCCTCCCTTCCATCATCCTTCCTTCTTCTCTCCCTCTCTCTCTCTCCCTCTCCCTCTCTCTCTCTCTCTCTCTCTCTCTCTCTCTCTCTCTCTCTCTCTCCCTTCAGCATTATTGAGATTTAATTCACACACTGAATGGTGCTTTAAAAAACTATAGTACCTCATCACACCCCTTGAGTATGCTTGTAAAAAAGCCATAAACATTTCCATTTTCCCTTACCTAATGGAGAAACAAACCGATCCAGGTGGAGAGAATTGCTCGAAGCCACACCATAAGCTCACTGCAGAGTTAGCGCTTGGGTGAGCTTTGTACACCTTGTGAGCCTGTCTGTCAAATGTGGGTCCCTGCCTCCTCCGTCTGAGTACACAGAGCCCCAGGGGAGTGAGGAATATGGAGGTGCTTCAGAAAGTGAAGTGGGTAGGAGAAAGCACGAGGATGTGGGGAAGCAGGTCCTTTTGGCTGGCAAGGTCACTCTGTTCTAGTTTTCTATTAAACTTTTGACCGTTTCCTCCTCAGGCTATGTTTTCCACTAATCGTGGGACCGTTGGAGGCTTCTTCCTGGCAGGTCGAAGTATGGTGTGGTGGCCGGTAAGTTTTCTCTGAAATACTTTTTGTTTAATTAAGATATTCCCTGTAGGAGGCCATATTCTTCTTGGGTTGGGGTGGCAGTAATTCCTACTTCCTGCCTTGGGCCCCTGATAATGGGTCTCAGGCTCACCAGGTTTCTGGGCACCCTTACTCTCTTGTGGTCAGGGAATAGCCTTAAAAAAATGTTTGGAATCCTTCAAGAGAGAGGAATAGAATTCACAAGCAGGCAGCGAAGAAAAGCAAAAAGAGCTCACAGACTGAGGAGATTTGGGGCAAATCTGAGCTTCCACTTCTGTGTCTATAAAATAAGGACAGTAATATTTACCTTCCAGGAGCGTTATGAGAAGTAGAAGCCTCTTATGAGGTGGAAACTTAATAAATAGTAGCTTTTTTGCTACCTTCTTGCTACTGTAAGCCCCATGGAAGAAAGACTTTCTCTGTCCTACCGTGGAAACCTAGTGCAGTGCCTGATGCACAGGAGGCCTCGGGACACACTTGTTGAATGGATGGAAGAGGAGCCCCCAATTGTTCCCGATGGCAGTGGATTTTGTATATTTAACAGGTGCTTTCCCTGACATTTAGGCATGGGCAGAACTATCTCAATCAAAGGACATGTGCATGGACCGAAGAGAAACTGGGAGGTCCCTTCATCTTATCAGCATGGGGCTCTGGCTGGTTTATCAGTTCAGCCCAATGACCATTTCGATCCAGAGTTCTCACCAAAACCACTGGTTGACCAAATCAGCTAAATTGTGCAATTCCTTGGGCGTAGGATACAAGCAAGAGTGGTTGGTGAAAGAGGGGATAATGAAGCACACATACAATGAGAAGAGAGGGACAGCTATGAGTCGATGGGGGACAGAGAAACAAGAAAGAAAGCAGCCACTGTCGTGCATAGCACAGAGAGAAGTTACGAGGAAATCATGCCACATTCGGCCTTTGATTTTGTTGTTTTGAGGTGGATTTTAATCACTGGCATTATCACTATTGCTTGGGTTACCCCTGAAGTCATTTCTGCTTTGTCCCTAAGGTGGCCAAGAATACTGGGCAGAGGCTGATTCCCGCAGTGGGTCCCCCATGGTGGTCTCTCCTAATACACGTGTGGGTAGAGACATACATATTCTGATGCCTCCTTCCTGTTCTTTGTCAGGGCTTTTGTATTCTCATGCTTTGGACTTTGGTGATTTCCAAATGCTGGTGTTTTTAGGCAGCTCAGATCACAAAGTTCAAGACAAGCCTGGGGTAGTCCCTCTGGAACTGCGCTGTTCAATATGGTAGCTGCTAATCACATTGGCTATTTAAGTTGAAATTACAATTAGATAAAATTAAACACTTTTTCCCCCCTAAATCACACTAGCCATATTTCAAGTGCTTAATAGGTGCATGTGGACAGTGGCTACCATATTGGACAGTGCAGCTCTTGGACATTTCCATCGTGGTAGAAAGTTCTGTTGACTGTGTCGCTCTACAGGTTTCAGAGCCAAGGCTGGCATGAAATCTTGAGATTTGCTGAATAGATAGTTAATTAGGACCTTGAAGTTTACTTTAATTATTTTGGAAACAGTGCACCCCACCCCTTCTAATGCTTAACAGTAAACCTGCTAAGTGCTCATCCAACCTCAGATTGCCCCCTTTTCTCCTCCCCCCCCCCATGATGATGGAAAACTTATGTCTCTTCATGTAAAATTTCTAGTGCTGATTTACTGGGGATAAGATCCTAGCTTCCAGTCTGTGGGTCTTGGGGAAGCCAATGAGGGGCAAAGAATGGGGCAGAACCACCCTTAGGAGACATGCGTTTTGGGCTAGGCCTGGGACCACCTCACACCTTAACCAGCAATGATGTTTCTCTTCCTGATTGTGCCCAAGTGTGGGTCTGGGCTGAGAATTGTCTGGTAAGAGGGTTTAGCCCCACCCAAGGCAGGCAGGGTTCAATGGTTCACATGGGCTTTCCTGTGAGTGGTGTTTTCCTTACTCCTGTCTCAGTATTGAATTATTCTCATCAACAGAAAAACATGGCATCATTCTTTTGTGCAGAAGTCACTGCTTCCTTGATGAGGCTGAAATTCAACTTTCCTTTCTCCAATAATAATTTCCATCTAAAGCTTCATGTGGTTGCATTAATGGTTTTTAAACCTGCCCATGTATCAGAATCGCCTGGGTGTGCTTTCTGAAGATGCAGATTCTTGGTCTGCCTTCCAGACCTACTTAGAAATTTAAAACATCTTACAAGAAGGTCCCAGGAATCTGCATTTAAAAAAATCTTCCTAGACACTTTTGACTATTGGGCAGGTTTGATAATCACTTGTTTGAGTAGACTCTTCTCTATCTGGTCAGACTTTCCAAAACACCACCATCTGTTAGGGATGCTGGGAAGGGAAATTCTTAAATGGGGAAGCAGTGACCTCTAAGTCTCTCCTAACTCTAGAATTTTCTACAATATTCTAGAAAGTAGAATGACATAGACTTTGAAGTCAGCATTTCCGACCTGCCACATTTACTATTGCGTGACTTTGGGCAAGTTGCTGAACTTCCCTGAACTTCAATTTCTACACTGAGTGGAGTCCTGTGCACCAAAAGGTTGCTGGTTTGATTCCCAGTCAGGGCACATATCCAGGCTGAGGGTTTGATCCCCGGTCGGGGTATGTGTGGGAGGCAGCCCTCTCACATCGATGCTTTTCTCTCCATCTCCCTTCCTCTCTCTCTAAAAATCAATAAAAAATGTATATATTTAAAAAGAGGGGAATAATATCAGGATTAAATGAGACAATGCACGTACAGCACTCAGCATTATGCTTGGCAAGTGCTCAATAAACGGGAGCATTATGATATGGAAGAAAGGCCAGGAGTGCCAAGGCGACTCCCCAGTGGGCATTTGCCTGGTGCACAGCACGCAGTTGTGTGCTGTAGACGGAAGTTGGCATTTATGTGAGGCTATTGTTGCTGTTTCACTGAAATTTAACTTCAGATTGACTGTGTGACTAAATGAACATGATTTATGTGTATATTTATTTATACTATTGTAAATCATCAATTCCAGCTACACACGGACCACATTTTTACATCTTTGAAGTTAGCTTGTGTGTTATAATTAGTCATTGGCATTGTGATTTAAGTGGCAATGTGATTTCTTTCTTCATACTACACAGTATGTCTTACCATAGTTGGTGTTTTAGATTCAGTGAAGGACGGTTATGTTCTCAAGTAGTAGTTTTTAAAAATATGTTCACTGCAACCTTCAGGTGTTGCAGAAATGCCTCGGGACAGCCCTCCCTCTCTTTCCCAGCAACCCAGCGTTTATCTATTTTATAAAAGAGTAATCTGTTAAGACTTTGAGGACAAGGTTCTGCTGACTTACAAAGTTGAAAAACTGCTAGTTTAGAAGAACAGTAAGCATGGTGATTTCTAGTCTAAATTTTAAAATGGTTTAAAAACATTATGATGATATGTCCTTGAAAGGGAAACATGGTATGCAAGAAAATGCAAATCTAAGTACTTTCTCTCCACAATTGAAAAGTAGTTTAAACTGTGTTAAACATATATTTCTAAATTCCCCTTGGTATCAAATTACAAAGTCAGTTTAAGCCTGTCTGTTGGCCTAGAAGTTTGTAGCTGGAATATCAGTTCTCAAATGTGCTGGCCCAAGGAGAACACCACAGGGCCATGGGGCTTCCGGAGCTGACATCTCCCTCAGCTGGTTGGCTGAGGCAGAAACCCTCCAATGGGACACTGTCCCCTTCATCTGCATTTGCCCCTACTTTCTGCTATAGGAGAGGTGAGCAACCAGAGGAGCCTTGGAAAGAGAGTCCTAAGGGATTTTAGGAGGGGAAGACTTGAGTTGACCTTGGGTTGGTACGTCCCAGGTCTGGAGGGCTTGGGTAGTCACCCATGAAAAAAGGCAGGAGGAAATCAGAGCTTGTAAAGTCTAAAAAGAGATTGGACAGAGGAGAGGCCAGTTGAGGGCACTCCTGGGGGCTTTCGGGACTTTGAAAGGAGCCATTATACCCTGGAACAGGTGAAGATCCAGGAGCTCTGGAAAAAGACCCTGTTCCTAAAAAAGTTAATAAGGCCCAGAGAGAGAAATGGCTTAGGCCTTGGCCTGGGGATAGAAGTGAGGACAATGGGAGAGAAAGAGCAGAACTCTAGGGCTGGGTTACTAGGGGAACCAGCTCACACCGGGAGCCAGCCAGGTAGGCCCACAGCAGCCTGAGCAACACTCTAGGACTTGCCAAGCCAACTGAATAGCATAAAACCATGGAGCTATACCTTTTGTAACTGTGGGCTGGCTTGTGACCCAGGATTTCCTTTTCGATGGCACCATGGTTTGGCACATTTAACAAACAGCTGTGTGGTAACAATGATCTGGGCATGTGAGAGATACGGAAGCAGAGTGTGAGCTTGGAAGCGGGAATTCCCCACTCCTTGGCTAATGGTACCAGAAATTACTCACAGAGGCAGGGCCCCAGGTTCACAGCCCAGTGGAGGACTCTTGTTTTGGGGAAGAGTTTGGTCATACATACCAGAGGCAGCTCCATGGGAGTGGCAGGAGCAATGGGGCTGACCCAACCCTTCCACACCCCTTCAACACGTAAGTAGCACTCCAAAGGGAGTGGGGAGCCTTGCCAGAACCAAAGGACTTGGCTTGCCCCAGCTTTGTGACATCAGGCAAAACATTAACCATTCTGAACCTCAGAGAGTCTCCTCTGTAATAGGAGACTGTCAGATTGAGGGTCTCAAAGACTCTCCCAGAAATAAAATTCTAAGATTCCACACCACAGAGGAGGGACCAGGCATGAGGGGAATTGGTGTGGGCATACTGGTCCATCCATCACCAGTGAGGGTCTTGAAAATGGAATGCCTGTGTCTTCCCATAGCCACAGTTTCTTTCCTTCCTTTATTATTAGATAATCATGGTAGAGGAGTGTATCAAAGTGGTTTAGGGTAAGAATTAAATACTTTCTCTGTAAAGGGCCAGACTGTAAATATTTTTGGAGGCTATGTGA